CCCGTTCTTAACCACTGAGTTATCTTCCCAACCCTCCATACCTCCTACTAGAAACCCAGTAGTCTTGACTTTTACAACTACGGTCCTTAACTTTACTGACTATTCACACGTCCACAAATGCTGTGTGGTTTAAGCACTAAACACTTGCCTCCAGGCATGGCCTGCAGCCTCTCATTCCAGCGCAGAATGCTGTCCTCACACACCTGCAGATTTATCAGACTCCCTGTCAAACTGCTTCTTAAGAAACCACTCAAAGGCAGGCGTGGTGGAGCACACCCAAATTCCTGGTTCTGGGGAGTAAGGTGGAGGCCAGAGTCTCAAGACTTCAAAGCCGGGCCGCGTGTAGTGATCTCTGTCTTTTATCCCAGCACTCAGGAGGCAGTGACAGGTGGATCTCTGAGCTCTGGGCAGGGCCTCGCCTACATAGCCTCTGGTGTGTAGTGAGTTGGAGATCAGCCTAGACTTTATGAGATACTTTTTCAGAATTAGAGAGAAGTAAACACTCTATCTAAAATATCTCTATTATTCCCACGCTTCTGATTCATAATTTGAGTCAGGATAGAATTCTAGGTTAAGAATCACTTTCCGTAGATGGTGGTAGCGCACACCTTTAATCCCAGCATTTGGGAGACAGAGGCAGTCAGAAGTCACGTCCGAGGACAGCTTGGTTTACAGAGTGAGTTTCAGGATAGCTCGGTCTGTTTCACTTGATAAACCGTGTCTCAAAAACCCAAGAAAAAAATTTAAATAAAAACCACCTTTCATGTGTGTATCAGTCAGGGTTCTCTCAAGGAACAGAACTGATTGAAAAATATATATTGATTAATAAATATAATTGATATATACATATAATAATACATTATATTGTTTTATATTAATATATATATATTAATGGGGGTATTAAAATGGCTTACAGGGGCTGGAGAAATGGCTCAGAGGTTAAGAGCACTGGCTACTCTTCCAGAGGTCCTGAGTTCAATTCCCGGCAACCACATGGTGGCTCACAACCATCTGTACCGAGATCTAGCGCCCTCCTCTGGCGTGTGGGCATACATCAAGGCAGAATGTTGTATACATAAAAAATAAACAAATCTTTTAAAAAATAAATAAATAAAATAAAATGGCTCGTCAAACAATGGATGTTGTTCTGACAGAAAAGACAGAAATCCAGTAGTCGTCCAGTGCATGGGGCTGGATGTCTCAACTGGATGTCTTCAGGACACAGCAAATACAGAAGGAGGAGGCCACAGTGCAAGCAAAGAGGAAAACCTTCTTGTCCTTTACAGAGGCTTCCAGTTTAGGCTGACCCAGTTTAGGGTGGGTCTGTGGATCTCCATCATCCAGATTTAAGGTAGATCTTCCAACCTCAAGCAACCTGCATTTAAGGTGAATCTCCCCGCCTCAGACAATCCAATTAACAAAACAAAAAAAAAATTCCCTCACAGGTGTGCCCAGGGGCTTGGGTTTTTTTTTTTTAGTTAATTCCAAAGGTAGTCAAGGTGACAGCCTTTTCAAAAGTACGCGTGTTTGTGTGCGTGTGCAGAGGTGGGGTGTGTCTGTGTACACAAGCAGCAGACTCCTCGGAGCTGGAGTTACAGGTACTCATGGGACACCTAGCTTAATATACAGGCGCTAAGATGTGGACTGTGGTCCTCCTGTTCCCAGGAGATGCTCTTAACCATGGAGCCATCCCTCCAGCCTGTTTTGTACGATTTGTTGTTGTTGTTTTATTTGTGATTATTTTTTGTTGTTTGAGTTTTGGCTTTAAGATGGGATCTCACCATGATGCCCATGCTGGCCCTGAATTCAAGATTCTTCCAGCCTCAGCTAACCTCAGGGCTGGGGATTTCTAGGAAGCGCCACTATATCTGACTGCATGTTAGCATCTAATGTTCTGAACGTTCTGAGGGCATTTCCTGTTTCTCTGGGCAAGCCACGTGTTTCACCTCTTTGAGCTTTAGGATCTGTTCTGGATCACAGAATTCATGGACACTAAGCTTATTCGCTGGGAATGCAGATCTTACCCTGAGCTCCTGGGAGTGTTGACATGACCATCCATGGGCAACCCTACTTAGAGAACACTTGACTGAAGGCATTCCAGAACCAACCAGCGTCCAGCGGCTGATAGTATGGGAGGTGAAGGCCCAGCAGGCCCAGCTCCCTTACCTCAGCTGGTATCTACACTGCGGGGTCCTGCCAGCTCTAGAATGACCATGGTAGGGCAGCTGAAGGTCTTCAGAGGTTCCCCATCACAGCCCAGCTTCTCTGCGGGTCAGCCTTGTTTCTCCTATGATGTTCTACCCTCATCCCGCGGACAATCAGTCCAGCCTGTGTTTTGTTTGTTTGTTTTTTAAATATTTATTTATTTATTTATTATGTATATAAATTTCTGTGTATATGCCTGCAGGCCAGAAGAGGGCACCAGATCTCATTACAGATGATTGTAAGCCACCATGTGGTTGCTGGGAATTGAACTCAGGACCTCTGGAAGAAGAAGCAGTGCTCTTTTCTTTGCTGAGACAAGAGTCTCAAAACGGGCTTGGAACTCACAAAGTAGCTGAGGATGATTTTGAATTTCTGATCCTGTCTCTAACTTCCAAGTACTAGATTGCAGGCATGTGCCACAATGCCCAGCTTTTAGCAATTTGTTTTCTATACACTGATTTTCTTTTAATGCTGAGAAATGAATCAGGAAAATAATACTGTTTATAATAGCTTAAAAAAAAAAAAATGTGCCGGGCGGTGGTGGCACACGCCTTTAATCCCAGCACTTGGGAGGCAGAGGCAGGCAAATCTCTGTGAGTTCGAGACCAGCCTGGTCTACAAGAACTAGTACCAGGACAGGCTCCAAAACCACAGAGAAACCCTGTCTCGAAAAAACAAAAAAAACAAAAAAAAAAAAAACCACCAAATGTTATGGTTGAAAGGATCAGTATGTGAATCTTGAAAATGAAACAGAAGCCAGCACAATGGCTCAGAGAGGAAAGCACTTGCTTAGCAGGCAGGGCACCCAGAGTTCCAGCCCAGGACCCACATAAAGGAAGAGCAAGAGCACCAGTTCCAACAAGGAGTTGTCCTCGGACCTCCATGCAGCACAGCAGTGCCCACGTGCACATCATTCATGCCAACACACATGAAACAGCAGCATCCACGTGCGCATGTCACGCCTACACACACGACACACTGGCACTCACACGCACATGTCATGTCTATGCACACAACATAGTAGCCCTCACATGCCCATATGCCATGCCTACCCATACAACACAGCAGCACCCACATGCACATGTCTTGCCTACACACACTATAATAAATACGTTTTTTTTGTTTTGTTTTTTAAATATTTATTTATTTATTATGTATACAATATTCTTTCTGCGTGTATGCCTGCAGGCCAGAAGAGGGCACCAGATCTCATTACAGATGGTTGTGAGCCACCATATGGTGGCTGGGAATTGAACTCAGGACCTTTGGAAGAACAGGCAATGCTCCTAACCACTGAGTCATCTCTCCAAAAGCGAGGTGATGCCGGGCGGTGGTGGCACACACGTTTAATCCCAGCACTCGGGAGGCAGAGGCAGGTGAATCTCTGTGAGTTCAAGGTCAGCCTGATCTAGAAGAGCTAGTTCCAGGACAGGAACCAAAAGCTACAGAGAAATCCTGTCTCGAAAAATCCAAAAAAAAAAAAAAAAAGCGAGGTGATGATGGCAGAGCAAATAAAGGTGTTTCCTTCTAAAGGCTGAGTCACAAGGTGGAAAGACAGTTGTGTCCACAAGTGTCCTCTGAGCTCCCCTTGCGCACACCACCCTTCATAAATAAATGTATCTTTTTAATCTTTGTTTGTTTGTTTTTCTCTGTAGCTTTGGAGCCTGTCCCAGAACTAGCTCTTGTACCAGGTTAGCCTTGAACTCACAGAGATCCGCCTGCCTCTGCCTCCCCTCCAAGTGCTGGGATTAAAGGTGTGCGCCACTACTTCCGGGCTAATTTTTTTCCCTAGACATTGTAATAATATTTTATTATACATCAAATTGTCTTCATTATAACTTAAAAGCTGATTAAATCTGAGACCCTTTTTTGGGGGGGGGGGGAATCTGAGACTCTTTTATCTTTTTTTTTTTTTTTTTGGTTTTTCGAGATAGGGTTTCTCTGTAGCTTTGGAGCCTGTCCTGGAACTAGCTCTGTAAACCAGGCTGGTCTCGAACTCACAGAGATCCGCCTACCTCTGCCTCCCGAGTGCTGGGATTAAAGGCGTGCACCACCATCGCCCGGCTTCTTTTATCTTTTTAAAATAAAAAAAAAAATCTCTTTATGTACAATATCTACTGTCTAGAGTCTGGCAAATATAGCACCTTTCATTGAAGGATTTTTGCTTAACATAACAAGCAAAATTAACCAAAAAAGAAGAAAAAAGTCAAAGCAAATTGAACCCCCAGATTCCTCAATGGTGAATAAAGCATTAAAGAGTAACTTTTGTCTAGAAACGCATAATGAATATGAAAGACCCCCATATGGAAAGACTCTCTCACTCAAGTCTCGGGATAACACGACCCTCCCCCCCCCCCCCCCCCCAGTAACTCACGAGACCGTCCTTGCTGCAATCACACAAGGTTTATTGACAGGTTACCAGTGCACTGGGGTCGAGACTCTAATCCACGCAGGGGAGGAGTTCGACCCCGAGTTACTGGGAGAAGGGGTTTTTAAGGGAAGAAACCACAGCCCAGTAATCCAAAGGGGGTAGGGAGGGAATCAGAGAAAATTTCGAAAATACCACTGATGATCACAAGGGGGCAACTCCCTGTTTCTCAAGATTATTCTCAAGATTACAATCTAACTTTATCTTCAGCTAGTTCCTGAAACAGAGTTACTGAACTGACTAGTCCCAGATTTCTGATTCTTCTCTCCCTGCTTAGATTTTTGGCTCTATTTTTTCCTGCTGGGGGGGGGGGGGGGGTCTGGATTTATCCAGGTCTTTTAAATACTTATATTAGTATTTAAAAAATTCAAACAGCCCCATTAGTCCTCGGGGCCGATGCTCCCGCTCTGGGTCGGGCTGACTCTGGATCACTTCTCGGCTCCTGGATGACGCAGCACAGGACCACGCTGAAAATTGCACCGAAGATCATCAGTACGGCCATGCCAATGTCCACTGCTTCAATGATGTAGAACTTGCTGTTGAAGACATCACTGATGGCTTCTGGGCAGGACTTAACCTGGAAGGTATCAAGAACTTGCTTTTGGGGGCAGATGTCCGAGATAAACTGTTCCTTGCCTTCTGCTAGGCCACAGCAGTTCAACGCCGCGTGGAAGGCTTTCAGTGTCTCCCGCTGGGGCCCATCTATGCTCTTCAGCTTTTGGTAAGTGTTGTTGTAAAATTCCTGGACTTCCTTAATCACCTCATCCTTATGGGTATAGCCCCAGAAGGCTGCAGCTATCTCGATGGCGAATATCACCAGGAGAAATCCGAAGAACAATCTCAGCATGCACCGGGATTTTCGCTCAGCTCTGCAGCAGCCCAGGAAACCCCCCAGCATAAAGAGGGCCCCAACTCCAATCAGGAAGTACACTCCCGTGTAGAAACTGGGATTAGAGTCTTCCTGTCGGTTTGAGAGTTGAGAGTCTAATCGGAGCCATAGTCCAAAGGCAAATATCGCAAATCCGCCCAGCCAGAACATGAAGTTAAATCCAAAGAGCACGTATTTGAGGCTCTTGCTATCCGCGTTGTCCGGCATGGTGGAAGCTGGACTTCCGTGGGACAAGGAGCAGACACGGCTGGGACAGAAGGGATGGCAGCGGACTGAGACACGCTGAGGCTGGGGCTCCCCGGCTAATTTTTTAATCTTTAAATAAGAAAATGAAGCCAAAAATAAACAAATGTACACAAATAATAAAAATCCAGAGACAGAAATTGGGGTTCAACCCGAAAACCAGAAAAGCAAGGCAGCCAAACCACTAGAGAAGACTTACCTCTACCAAGGCTGGGCGAAGGCAAACTAAGCCGCCACGACTTTGTCTCCCTGCGGTTTATATTTCCTCTAGTGCTGGTTGGTATTAAAGGAGTGACTCCCTAGGACTGGGATTAAAGGAGTAGACCACCACCACCTGGATTTGTTTCTGCTTTGACCTTGTGTAGCCTAGGGTGTCCTTAAATCCCAAATCCTGGGGTTAAAGGTGTGCCTCACCATTCCCTGGCCTCTAGTGGCTTTAGCTTTGCCTCTGGTCTTTAGGCAAGATTCATTCATTAAATAAATACAAATATACCACTATAAACTGTAAATCCCAGCTTCTGGCCTCCATTTTTGGAGACCCCTCCCCTATGCCCTTCGAACCTTGACCCCTCCCCAGGAAAGGTCAAGACCACTCCCTTGGGCTATTAATCGGCTCCCCGAATGAGCTCACCTTAGGAAAATATTCCTGCCTTTAATCCCAGCACTCGGGAGGCAGAGGCAGGCAGATGACTGGGAGTTCGAGGCCAGCCTGGTCTACAAGAGCTAGTTCCCAGACAAGCACCAAAGCTACAGAGAAACCCTGTCTCAAAAAACCAAAAAAAAAAGGAAAATATTCCTAACATAAACAAATGTAATTTTTATCTTAAATAAAATGAAGCCAGGTATGATGTCGTACACCTTTGATCCCAGCACTCTGGAAGCAGAGGCAGGCAGATCTCTGTGAGTTCCAGGACAGCCAGGGCTGTTACACAAGTAAGCCCTATCTTTAAAAAAACAAAAAAGAAAGAAAGAGGGCTGGTGAGATGGCTCAGAGGATATGTGCACTGGCTGTTCTTTCAAAGGTCCTGAGTTCAATTCCCAGCAACCACATGGGTTTTCACAACTATCTGTAATGAGATCTGGCGCCCTCTTCTGGCCCGCAGGGATACATGCAGGCAGAATATTGTATATATAATAAATAAATTTTAAAAAAAGAGAGAGAGAGAGAAAATAAAACGAGTGTGTTGCTGACCATTTCTAAGGCAATTGCAGCATTCTCTTGGTGTTTCATACGCATTGGTGTTTCCTGCCTACATGTCTGTGTGAGGAATCAGATCCCCTGGAACTGAAAGTACAGACAGTTGTGAGCTGCCGTGTGGGTGCTGGGGATTGGTCCTCCGGAAGAGCGGTATATACTATTAACCGCTGAGTGATCTCTCCCGCTTCATCTCTTGGTGTTTTGTGGGGTTCCCTTCAGTGTAAACTGGCTGGACACACTGATGCATCTGTAACAAACAAAATACAACTGTCATATGATGTCATTTTCAGATGGGGTTAGAAAAAGTCTATGGCTTCTTGGGTATTTCCTCTCTTTCTCTTAGATCATTTACCGCAGGAAAGCTGGCAGCTTTGTGATGGGACAACCCCAACCCCGTGGAGAGTCCACCGGGTGAGAACTAACCCTGCCAACCACCATGTGAACGAATTTGTAAACAGTCTCCCACTTCAGCCTTGCGGAATCTGCAGCTGAGAACTTCATGCCCACCACAGCCTGCATCCTCTCAAGATCGCGAGCCGGAAGCACCCACCAAAGCCATCAGGATTTCAGATTTGTGGCAATGTTGACAAGTGGAGTCAGATGCCAAGTAACAATTGGTGGCAGAGTCTGCAGACAGGGCTCGCACGCGTCTGTAATCCCAACACTTGGGAAGCTGAGACGAGAAGATAAGTTTGTTTTTGCTTTTGGTTTTGGTTTTTTAGAGAGGCTTTCTCAGTAGCTATGGAGCCAGTCCTGGAATTGTAGGCCAGGCTGGCCTTGAACTCACAGAGATCAGCCTGGCAGGATAACAAGTTTGAGGTCATCTTCTGCTACACTGGGAGTTCAGGACGACCTAAATTAAATAATTGCCTGTCTTAAACTGGGCATGGTGGTGTACACTTTTAATCCCAGCACTTGAGAGGGTGAGGCAGGCGGATCTCTGTGAATTTGAAGCCAGTGTGGTCTACATAGTTCCAGGACAGCCAGAGCTATATAGTAAGACCCTGTCTCAGAGAGAAAGAGAGAGAAAAGGTAGGGGAATCTGGCTTCTAAGGACTGGCAGATAAAAAGTAGCGTACAAACCTAGTTTGTGGGAAATCTTGGGTTTGATCCCAAAAACTTATAAGTAAATAAATAAATATGGAGACAGCGCAGTGGTTAAAATTTAAAAGCATGGGTTGCTCTTCCAGAAGACCTGGACCTGCGTTCCATTCCCAGCGCCCACGTGGTGGCTCCCAGCTTCTGTAATGTTAGTTCCACGACCTGATGCTCTCTTCTGGTCTCCATGGGCACGAGGCACAAACATGATACACAGACACACATGCAGGCAAAACTTTCGTATATATTTAAGTTTTTTAAAAGATTGGCTAGGCAGTGGTGGTGTACACCTATAATCCCAGCATTTGGGAGGCAGAGGCAGGTGGATCTCTGTGAGTTCTCTGTCAGGAATCGGCTCTCTCCTATCATGGGGTCTGGGGAGCACCTTTGTCTTTAAGCCCCGTTTTCCTGTTTGACCTTTGTTTAGAGGCCAGATCTTGTTTGTTTGTTTTGTTTTTGTTTTTCAAAACAGGATTTCTCTGTGTAGCTTTGGAGCCTGTAGATTGAGAGTTGGCTGTAGGCATGGTGACTCAGGCTTGTAACCCCAGCACTTAGCTGGGTGTGACGAAGAGCATTGCCTGGGTTCAAGGACAGCTACGCAGTGAGCGTCAGCCTGTACTGCTTGTGAACTGTCTAAAAAGGACGGATATGCACCAGGAAGACCGACGTATGGTGTCATAAACGATAGATCCATTATGTGAACATTCAAAAGCACAGCTAGGTGTTACCAGCCTTTGGGAAATGAAGACAGGAGGTCAGGAATTCAAGGTCATCTTCAGTTACACAGCAAGTTCCAGGCTAGCCTGGACTACGTGAGACACCCTGACTCAAACAAACAAAAATAAGACAAAACATAAGGAAAAATAATAATATAATTCATATATATGTGTGTGTGTGTGTGTGTGTGTGTGTAACTTTGGGTTTCAGTGAGAGACCCTGCTCAATTTATAAGGTAGAGAGGTACTGAGGAAAATACCCAGTGTTAGCCTCTGGCCTCCCAATGTCGTGAACATACGTGTGTGCACATCTGCCCACATACATGTGGACAGAGCATACCACACATACACAGTTATATATATATTGCATGCGTATGAATATGTGCAGAAACATAATCTGTGCTAAATTGTTCGTAAGGGCTAAAACACAACCATCTTTTCTCATTTTACATGCCAAATCTTCTTCCCATTCCCTCCCCCATTCCAAAATCTTGACTCTGTTGCTGCCTTGGCCTGTCAATAAAAGTCTGTAATACCACAACAGCCGCTAGATGGCAGGCCTCACCAGAAGTCCCTTTCTGCTGCGGTTTCTCATAAAGCATATTGTGAGTGTTGTGTCACAGTGAGTTGTGTGAGCTTCTCTCTGAGCAGAGCAAGAGTTCATCCTGCATTGAATTATCTCCTGGTTCATCCTAGATTAGGGACCAGCCTCGACAAAAATACCTCTTGCCATGGTAGGGGTGCTGGGATTTAGAAATACAGTAAAGAATACGAAGACACAAAAATAATAAGACATAAAACCATAGGATAGTGTTGGGAGGGAGTTCCAGTGAGTACTGAAATTGCCCGTGTTTAATTTCCAATTGCTTAAAATACCCTTGACCCCAAAAGATAGGAGTAAGAAAAAAAAAATTCATTAACGTGATATAATGAAATGAACAGACCAGTTGAAGGTCCTGGGCTAAATCCATAGTTACCATAATTAAACATTCTGTTGCTAGGGCAAAACAAGTCATTTTCACACCCTAGACCAAAACATTCTATAGGCAAACCAGTCCTGGGTGGAATCCAGTGCTATCTCCTTAAAGGAATGGGTGGGGGGAAGGCGTAGTTGGATCCTTAGACTTTTGTTTGAGGTAGAAACAAGTCTACTTCTCTATTTCTGAAATACTAGGTCTGGATATTAGCCACACCTGTTGACAATAACCTTGCGAGAACAGAACTCTCTGATCTGTTATGCCCAGATCACAGAGTTCCCCCCCAAAAACCAACTAGGAGACAGAGTTCTGTATGTAAAAGCAAAGAGCCTTTATTCTTACACAAGTTTACAAACTCAGTCTCTCTGTGTGTCCAGTGTATTGGAGTGATCTGAGAACTCCAAGCTCAGTTAGAGTTGGTTTTGTTTGTTTGTTTGTTTTTTGTTTTGATTTTCGAGACAGGGTTTCTCCGTGGCTTTTGGTTCCTGTTCTGGAACTAGCTCTTCTAGACCAGGCTGGCCTCGAACTCCCAGAGATCCGCCTGCCTCTGCCTCCTGAGTGCTGGGATTAAAGGCGTGTGCCACCACTGCCCGGCAAAAGAGACCTCAAAGGCCGAACTGTGTTTCTTGCACTGGTCCTTTTAGCCTTTGACTCTCATCTTGGGACCAGGGCGTATTCCTTTCACTGGCTCTGAGTCTAGGGACAACGTGTGCTTCTTTGACACTAGTTTCAGAATCAGGGCATGTTCCTTTGGTCCTGGGTTTGGGGATAAATATGTCTCTTTCCCTGGCTCAGGTCTCAGATCCAGGGTGTGTTTCTTTCACTGGCTCTGGGTTCAGAGTCAGGGTGCTCAGTGATTGGTTGGTTCCCTGCTCCAGTTGTCCCTTTTACCTACAAATATGCTAGACAGTTTGAAAATGGAAGGATTAAATGAGAGGATATGGCTGGGCAGTGGTGGCACACGCCTTTAATCCCAGCCCTCGGGAGGCAGA